AACACGGGAATAACACGAAGATAGTACGTGAATAACACGGGAGTACCACGTGAATAACACGATTATTACTGTTAATAACACGGAAATATCACGAGGATAACACTGCAATAACACGGGAATAACACGAAGATAGTACGTGAATAACACGGGAGTACCACGTGAATAACACGATTATTACTGTTAATAACACGGAAATATCACGAGGATAACACTGCAATAACACGGGAATAACACGAAGATAGTACGTGAATAACACGGGAGTACCACGTGAATAACACGATTATTACTGTTAATAACACGGAAATATCACGAGGATAACACTGCAATAACACGGGAATAACACGAAGATAGTACGTGAATAACACGGGAGTACCACGTGAATAACACGATTATTACTGTTAATAACACGGAAATATCACGAGGATAACACTGCAATAACACGGGAATAACACGAAGATAGTACGTGAATAACACGGGAGTACCACGTGAATAACACGATTATTACTGTTAATAACACGGAAATATCACGAGGATAACACTGCAATAACACGGGAATAACACGAAGATAGTACGTGAATAACACGGGAGTACCACGTGAATAACACGATTATTACTGTTAATAACACGGAAATATCACGAGGATAACACTGCAATAACACGGGAATAACACGAAGATAGTACGTGAATAACACGGGAGTACCACGTGAATAACACGATTATTACTGTTAATAACACGGAAATATCACGAGGATAACACTGCAATAACACGGGAATAACACGAAGATAGTACGTGAATAACACGGGAGTACCACGTGAATAACACGATTATTACTGTTAATAACACGGAAATATCACGAGGATAACACTGCAATAACACGGGAATAACACGAAGATAGTACGTGAATAACACGGGAGTACCACGTGAATAACACGATTATTACTGTTAATAACACGGAAATATCACGAGGATAACACTGCAATAACACGGGAATAACACGAAGATAGTACGTGAATAACACGGGAGTACCACGTGAATAACACGATTATTACTGTTAATAACACGGAAATATCACGAGGATAACACTGCAATAACACGGGAATAACACGAAGATAGTACGTGAATAACACGGGAGTACCACGTGAATAACACGATTATTACTGTTAATAACACGTAAATAACACGAGAATAACACTACAATAACACGGGAATAACACGAAGATAGTACGTGAATAACACGGGAATACCACGTAAATAATACATAAATAACACGAGAATAACACTACAATAACACGGGAATAACACGAAGATAGTACGTGAATAACACGGGAGTACCACGTGAATAACACGAGGATTACTGTTAGTCACACGGAAATATCACGAGGATAACACTGCAATAACACGGGAATAATACGAAGATAGTACGTGAATAGCACGGGAATACCACGTGAATAACACGAGGATTACTGTTAGTAACACGCAAAATATGACGAGGAATAAAACTGTAATAATACGTCAATAACACGTGAATAACACAGTAATAATACGTTAATAACACGTGAATAACACAGATAATAACACTTGAGTAAGACAAGAATAACACGAAAATAACACGGGAATATCATTGTCTTAACTCATGATGTAAACCAGAAGAGAAACACGAGAATAACACGTCAATAACACAGGAATAACACAGGAATAACCTGGGTTACTCTCGTGTTACTACGCGCCCGCAGCGAATATTCCTTGTGTTATTGACCGATTAATCGACGTTACTCTGCGTTACCGCGCACATTCTAGCGTGTTACTTCTCTGTGTTACCGCCGATTAATCGGTGTTATTCCTCATTTCCTCGTGTTATTTAAACGATCAAAGATTTGTGAGAATTTTTTAATATTTTAGATAAATTTTATATTACAAAGAAAATAGGATAAGTAATATTAGAATATTTGCATTACTCCCGTATTACTCTCGTGTTATACACGCGTTACTCCCGTGTTACTCAGGATGTAGCAGCTGCATTACTCTCCTATTACTCTCGTGTTATCCAAGTGTTACTCCCATGTTATGTGTTATCCACGTGTTACTCTCGTGTTACTCAAGATGTAGCAGATGCATTCAGCAGAAGCATTACTCCCGTATTACTCTCGTGTTATCCACGCGTTACTCCCGTGTTACTCAGGATGTAGCAG